AGTATGCTTATTATAATTTTGAAAATTAAGAGACCCCCCCCCTGCACTTTATTTGACCCTCGCCAGTTATTCGAAAGGTATGAGAACATTTACTTTATTTGTCTTATTGCATTTTAGTTCTTACCAAAATGTGTCAAAAAATAAATTTAAACTGTTACAGGCCAGCACTATTTTTATAATCCAAAATAGATGTGATTTTGACAAATAAAAAGTGGAAAATATGACATCAAAACCTGAAGTTGCATTGAGATAGTGAAAGTCATCTTCCAAAAGCTAAGCAAAGTATAAGAAACAGAATAAATTAAAAGATAGTTGAAATTTTTAGGGCAAATAATGAGGATAGAGAGCTTGGAAAATTTGATACTCACAAGACTGACTGAAAGTAAGAGGGACAGAGAAAAGCAATGCATAACCTACCTAGCAAGGAAATTGTGGAGAGCTATAATCAGCAACATCATGGTACATGGAGAAGTAGAATCAGTGTAAATATTGTGTATAAGTTCATATTCCTGGTTCTTGGTTCAAATGTGAATTGGTGTTTGCCTCTCAAGCAGGAGGTCTTTAAACTAGTCTATATGTCACAAGATTTTATCTAACCCGTAACATCTTGAAATATTAAACTGAATTTGGATATACACATATACACATATCTGGTAAAAAGTGTAGCTGTCAATTCATCAGTCCCAAATATATATATATATGTGATCTTTTATAAAAGTAATTTGAAATTTTGTTTTTCTTTTTATTTGTTTTTTTCTGTCACATTTCCAGCATATGTAGAATTTCACTTTTAATCTAAGCATAAGTGTGTGTGTGTGTGTGTGTGTGTGTGTATCCAACCAAATATGTTAGCTCTATCTCTGATATTGAGTGCTTTCTAATAAGTACCGCGCATATAATATATAAATAATTATACATATATATATTTATTTATATTTGTATACATATATATATATATATATATATATATATATATATATACATACACACCACACACACATTAGGAATCATATATTTTTAATTGATTTCACCCCAAGCAAGGCAGTAAAGCTACTAAGACACAGGCAGTTTCTGGGTGTGGAAGAATTACGAACAGCAACATTACTAATGAGTGAAAAGAGAAAAAAGTAATCAGGTAGATAACAACTGACATTACATTTAAATTTTTGAAGTTGGCTGGAAACAATGGAGCTGGAAGGGATTTCCATAAGCATGAAGTACAAGAAAAGAAACTGTTAGCATAGAACTTATGGTTGCATCTAGCCAGCACAACTGTAAATTAGTTGATTATCTGAATTATTATTTTAGGATAATTCATTCGTTCACAGGTAGCTGCATTTTATGGAATTCTGCTATGCTAAACTGGTCATTTTCCTGACATATTTTTAAACTGATGCATTTAAGTGAAAAGTTTACTTTTTTAGTAGGTTCTATATTGTAAAATAAAGAAAAAGACCCTCAAATATAGAATCCTGTTCTTGAATCAATTTCTTAACTGATTGTAATATTTATTCCCAACTTAATGGCTTTTGTCTATATTTCTGAGATGAGGTATTATGTACACTATTTACATTATTCGGACTATTATCCTCATGTTTGTCACCATATTTATTACAACGTAATCAACATCAGCCGATATCAGCTGAGTGCCTCTGAGGAGTCAGTATTGAATAAGGGTCTCAACTTTGCCACAACCATCAGGCGAGTGCCATACTTGGACATCATTGCCAGAGTCGAGGTGGTGGCCTTGAACTTTCCTCAGGCTCAGGCAGATGAACTGAGATGGAAGATGAGACAGACCTTGGAAAAGGCCAAGTCACCCAGGTCAAACATCATAAAACTGGAGAGGCTGGCGATTGAATCCCTCCAGAGGAACAAAAACATCATCATACTACCAGCTGACAAAGGCAATGCAACTGTAGTGATGGACAAATCAGATTATACAAGAAAGCTGGAAGACCTTATTAGAAATGATAGCTACAGTAAAGTAAAAAAGGATCCTACAATGAAAACAGAATGCAAACTGTCACAGATAGTAATCAAGAACAAAGATCATTTTGCACCTAAGACGTATAGGCAGTTATCACAGCACTACACCAAGCTACCTCACATATATGGTCTCCCTAAAATTCACAAAGATGGTGTTCCACTCAGGCCGATTGTTAGTTGCCAGGGCTCTGTGTGCCATCCTCTGAATCACTTCCTTGTAGATATAATTGACCCATTGATCAGAAAGTCTCCTTCATATGTCCAAAACTCTGCCCACTTCATGGAAATAATCAAAGATGCTCCCATCCAACCAGATGGTGAGCTTGGATGTAGTGAGTTTGTTCACCAAGGTACCAACAGAGGAGGCACTCGCAGTAGTCAGAGACAGATTGGCCTCTGACTCATCCCTAGAAAAATGGATCAGTATTCCAATAGATAATCTGATGGAGATGATGACTTTCTGTACACAAACAACACACTTCAGAATGGGATCACACATATATCGACAGGGCTTAGTTAATGGGCTCGCCATTATCACCAGCAATGGCAAATATATACATGGAATACATTGAGGAAATGGCATTAGAATCTATATCTCTAAAGCCAACTATATGGTTAAGGTGTATAGATGACACCTTCATACTCTGGCCACATCAGGAAGATGTTCAGGATCTACTGGACCATGTGAACTCAATAAGACCTTTGATACAGTTCACAATGGAGAAAGAGAGTAACAACACACTCCCATTCCTGGATGTTCTAATATCTCGAACAGAGCATAGGTTCAAGACAACCCTAAACCAACATTCACTGGACAGTACCTCAATTTCAACTCCCACCATCCATACAATGTAAGGGATCGTCCACTGCTTACAACACTGAGCAAAAGTCATAAGTGGTGACCCAGAGACATTAGATAAAGAATTGGTCAGTATAAGTAGTACCCTACAACATAACAACTACCCTGGATATATGGCAGCAACCCCCAAAAACTGGGATAGGCGGGTACAAGAGGAGGACAACAACACTCAGAAAACAGTCTGCCTGCCTTATGTGAAGGGGTTATCAGAGAAAATACAAGGATCTGCAGGTCATATAACATCAGGACGACCTTCAAAAGGTGGATGATGATTTGTAGGTCTCTCTCCTGAATAAGACCCCACTCATAGAGGAGAACATGACTAAAGACCATGTATACGCTATCCTGTGCAGCTGTGGAAAGAAATATAAAGGGGAGACATGCCACCCCCTTAAGGTAAGGCTTCAAGGACACCAGAAAGCTGTAACCTGAGGGGAAGTGGAAAAATCAGGTGTGGCTGACCAAATATGGAGAGAAAAGGGAGATCCCCACTCTCTATGTGATCAGGTTGAGATCATAGACAAATCATTGGAAAATTCGTAAACTTAAGGAATCAGCACATATGCTAGGCCACAAAAATCTCCTGAGCTGACCAAGCATAGAAATGAATACAATATTGGAACCAGTAATAAGGAATGCTAGAGAAAAGTGATAACAACAGCAAAAATTGCAATATGAGCTCTGGTAAAAACCTGCAATGATAACAGCAAAAATTGCAATATGAGCACTGGTAAAAAATTGATTGCTGAATACATTAGGTTTATAATACCCAGAAATTCATACACAGATGTCCTCAAGGACACATGACACAGTGGATAAAGGTGTTTGTTAGATCCAGTGAGAGTACCCAAAGTTCAATACCTGGTTAAGGCAGTTGAGAGGGAAATTTACAGGGAATTAACTTACTGACATCCATTAAAAACATGGCACATGGAACTAGAACAGTCTCCCCAGTGAGCAAAATAAAGGGTTCAGTTCAGCATTCCAACCACCTGAAGAAAGCTGGATTGTACAATGACCGAAACGTTGTAATAAATATGGCAACAAAGATGAGGACAATGGTCTGAATAATGTAAATAGTGTTAACAACTTTTCCACCACCATCTAATGGGAGATTTTTATTTTATTTTTTTTTCATTCTGTAATAAACCCTCAAGGTCACTTGAGGTAGAGAGTTATGATAAGGGATAATTTATACGGATAGGAGGGGGAAGATAACAGTTATCTCTAGATTTGAACAGGTTAAAATTGTAGTCATCGGGGAAACATCCTCTTGGTTGTCTGTTCTACAGAGCAATGGTTCGCAGGAAGAGACTGTTCAAGTGGAACTTACTTCCCATCAATGGAAGGAATGAGGGGGGTGCTACAATGTAAGTGGCATGGTGAGTCCTAGCTGTGAAGATTAGACCTGGCATTATGCAATGTAGTTCATCTGAGCACTTTCCAGCAATAGAGCAGTGAGAGAGACTTTCCATATCCTGCCTTTGAGAGAGAAGTGGAAAATAATTCATCACCCCCCTAGGACTCTGAGACGCTTTTGAACTCTATCGAAAACTGGAAAATGAGGACTGGGCAGCTCCTGCCCAAATATGACAACAGTACTCCATTTTAGGTCTGATTTAGTTCTTCTTGTAAAGGTAGAGGATAGCATGAGGAGTCAGGTACTTACTAAAGTAGTACAGGGAGCCAACGATTTTGCCTGCATCTTTAGTGATGGATCATATCTATAAGTTCCACTTGAGGGCTAAATTGGAAGATAGGTCAGCTGCTGATCTCTGATTGTCAAGAGTTTTCTGAGGTGCACCCATATATCATCATATCATCAGCATAGATGTTTACAAATGTGGTGATCTATTCTATAAAAGCTGATTGTCACTTGAATTGGTGATGTCCAAATGAACAAGTCTTCAACTTATGGTAAAAAAAAAAGAAAAATGTCTAGCTTTAAGTTTGCCAAGCCTTTCAAGCAATAATAACTATGCTTTCTTCCTTTTCTTTTACATATGAAAAGAATGACTAATATTATTGTCATAAGTTAACCTTCATATAAATAAGTCATGTACCAATTTATTGATCAATACTTTTCTCTTTGTATCAACTTGTAATCTTAATTGCATCTGAAATATCTAAAAAAAATTTGTTTCTCTTTTAGGTCATTACTGATTATATATATATGTTTGATTCCTGGACTGTTTACCTGTGAACTGTTTGCATTTTCTCTGCTATTTAAAAATCTTCATTTGCCAAGATCTTTCCCTTTTTAAATGGAATAAGTGACAATGACAGATTTTCAAAGTGTTAACAGGGAAAAACATGAACAAAATCCGCCAGTCCCACTCGTCTACTTTCTGACTTTAGTCGCCCAGATTTCAGTCTTTAGCGAAGGTTTTGAAATGGGCTCAACTTCTGGAGCTATTTTGCTAGTGCATAACAATAATCACATACACCTAACTTCGATTTGGCAGGAACTGATTTTGGCGGGGGCTATGCCAAGTGCCGCCATTTCATGCTTGATTGCCGGTTGGTTCTGTGACAGATTTGGTCGCAAGAAATGTGTAATGTTTTCTTGTTCATGTTTTATCCTGGGAGCAGTAGTAACTGCCACAGCACCCAGCAAGGAGGTACTCTTGATTGGACGACTTCTCACAGGATCTGGAATTGGTAAGTATCTTCTTTTTAATAAACTATTATCCTTCAAAATAGTCAAGTAGGTTACTTACTATTTTCCCTGTTTTTTTGCCTTCAACTTTTCAGATATTAAGCAATGTCAAACCTGGTCAGTACCTACATGGGTGACTGTTTGGAAATACCGGGTGCTGTAAGCTTGAATGTGTGGGTGGTGTAATGTATAAAAGTTCAGAACACAGTTCCAATTCCAGTTGGGTTCATTATATTCAGTTACACCCAAATGCTCTTGGGTCAGGTACTCTCCCCTCCTCCAGCTTAATTAGTAGTAAATCATCTTCAAAAAGTTACTAGAATTTAAAAATATTTTCTGGCTTTAAAAGGTTGATATGCTATAAAAACAAATCAATCTTTTCTATATCCTGTGAGTGTTACATTCTCCAAGCACTCTTCTTTCAATATGTATCCCAGAAGTTTAATTTGTTTCTTTCTGATTTTTAGCATCAGTTTTCTTGTAGTTTACATTCTCCTCAAAACTTCCCCTTTACTTGTATGTTCATCCCATGGTATTTGCAGCATTCATCAGCAGAAACCATCACTGTATTTACAAGTCTCTTCTTCATTTGTGAGTATATTGTTCACTATAGGAGAATAAATATCTGTCTATATTTCTGAGATGAGATATTGTAATTATTTACATTGTTCAGACTGTTGTTCTCGTCTTTGTTTCAACCTTCTTCTGATTGAAATATTGAACTGAACCCTTTATTTTGTCCACTGAGGTAGATTGTTCTAGTTCCATGTGCCATGCCTCTTCCGGATGCCTCAGTATCAGATATCTTCCTTTAACTGAACTCACCAAGGTTTTTTTCACCTCAGCCAAGTATTGTACTCACAACTCTTTTGGTCAAGGCACTGGATTCAACAAACACTTATATCCACTGGGCCATGTATCCTTGCATGAATTTTTGAGATTATAAGCCTAATGTCTCAGTAACCATTTTTTTTTACCAGAGCATATATTGCAATTTTGTTGTTATTATTGTTTTTCTCTAGCATTCCATATTACTGGTTCCCAAATTGTATTCATTTCTATACTTGACCACTAATTCCTTAAGTTTTTATATTTTCCAGTGATGTTCTTTGTCTATTATTTCAACTTCATCCCACAGGGGGTGGTGATCTCCCTTTTCCCTCTATATGTGTTCAGCTATGCCTGATTTTTACTATTTTTCCACATGTTATGGCTTTACGGTCTTCCTGCTGTCTTATATTAAGGGGACAACCAGCCTTTTACATGCATCTTGGCAGCCTGAGAATTTTGTCTATGTTGGTAATGCAAATTATTAAAAACAGTAAGTTTTTTCGTCCAAAGTATACTTATACTGACAGAGAGAATACCTGCTGTTGAGATACGTTGAGATACGTGGTGATACGTTTGAGATACGTTGAGACAGGTTGAGAGATACGGAGACAGACACAGGGTGTTCTCAGAGAGTTATACAAGAGTCCAGAGAGAGAGAGATAATTATGGCTTTACTTACAGAGACTTATACATATACTTTCTACTAACCCGCATTCCTGGACTACTAATCTTCACTTCAAGTCTGTATTCTTACATTTAATACACTTATTTTTCTATCTCAATTACTGGCGTTGTTTATTTACTTGTGCAGGATTCCATTCACAGAATCCACAACAACTTGGCGATGAGGATTTCGCACTTCACAAAGACTTCGGACCCAAACAGAAAAAAAGAAAAAATTCTCTCTCGTCAACACAACAACTTGACAACAAAGAGTACGGACACGTATGGAAAAAAAATTTTTTTTCGTTTGCCAACACAATAACTTGGTGACAGAAATTCGAGAATCACATCGACCACAACAACTTGGCGACAAGACTCGAAGGAACTCACACAGAGAACAACAAATTAACGATGAACATAAAAGAACATACACAAGAGATAGAAGAACAATTTTGTCACTCCCTAAAACAATGGAAGATTTTCAAAAAGCAATGCTTGAGTTTATAAGAAGAAGTGAGGAAAGACAGTTAGTAAATGAAGAAAGACAAATGCAACTCCAGGAATTAATATTAAAATGCACAACAGAAGAATATTGAAAAAGAGGTGACTTTTTTTCAAGATGCAGTTTGGAACACAATAGAAACATTTAAATACTCACTAGAAGATGATAAAAATTTGGGGGACTAGTACAGACGTCATGAAGACATTTTCAACATTGATTGCCAAAATTGAACGGAAGCTAAGAAGCTACGTTTATTACTCAGGAAATTGGGAACAGAGGAGTACACAAAATTTCTGAACTATATTCTACCAAAAAAGACAAACGATTTGACATTTGATGAGGTAGTTACATGCTTTACGGAGCTCTTCAATCCAAAGACTTCACTTTTTCACAAAAGGGGATATGTCTCAACCTCGTAAAAAGCGAAAATGAGGACTACTCCACATTCACCGCAATTGTGAAAAAACATTGCAATGACTTTAAATTGGCAGAATTGACTCTGGACAATTTTAAGTGTCTTATTTTCATACAGGGATTAGTCTCAGCCAAGGACAGTTAAATGTGAAAAAGAATGCTCATGAAGCTTCAAAACGAACCTGGATTAAGGCTACAAAAATTGTCAGAAGACTGCCAAAAATGCTTGAGTACAAAAAAAGACTCTAAGGATATCGAGGAATCAAGAGTAGCACACATACATAAGTTGAACAAAAAGTTATGTTTTTCATCCCCCCTGAAAAAAAAACAAAAGTTTTATGATAAAGAAAAAATTACAAGGTATAAGGCGATTAATGACAAAGATCAAAGCAAATATAATGTGGGGATTCCACTGGAATAAAGACTGTCGATTTAAATACAAGAACTGTTTAGCTTGTGGAAAAATGGGACATAAGGCATCTCAATGCAGAAACAAAAAACACACTAGTAGGGTAAGAACTATTAGAATGGACTATGAAGACAAACCAAAATAAGAACAAATGCAAAGTGAAAATGTTCGTAATTTTGTAATATTTTGTCTTAAAAATGTCAAATTCTACTCCATCTCATAAAAAGAGTAAAATATCTAAAGAAGAGCATGTGTGTTTCAAGAAAAGTGTGAATTACAGCACTTTTGTATCACTGTTAATGGAAAGATAAATTGTTTGATTTGCAACCACTGCATTGCGACGCCAAAAGAATATAATTGAAAAGACCTTATGAAACAAACCATTGATCTTATGATAAATATGAAAGAGATATGGGTGTTTCAAAAGTGAAGGAATTCAAAGTTAAGTTAACACAGCAGAAACAGATTTGCTTTACAAAAATTCAGAAAGGCAACATTAGTTCTGTTACTGCAAGCTTTGAACTCTGCAAAATGATTGCCATCAGTGGAAAATCTTACAGTGAAGGAGATTTCATAAAGCAATGTCAAGGCTGCAGATATGACCAATGTAGCCCTCCATATGCCTTGAGTTTGACATGTCTGGTGTATACTATCATGTCTGAAACTGTAATCACTTTGTGGAAATAATCAAGAATCCTCCCAACCAATCCAACCAGATGGTGAGCCTGGACGTGGTGAGTTTGTTCGCCAAGGTATCCATAGAGGAGGCACTATCGGTAGTCAGGAATAGACTGGTCTCGGACACTTCTCTCGGAGAACAGACCAGTATACCAATAGATAACTTGATGAAGATGCTGACTTTCTGTACACAAACAACACACTTTGGAATGGGATCAGACATATATCAGCAGGATGAAGGGCTAGCGATGGGCTCACTATTAACATTAGCAATGGCTAATATATACATGGAGTATTTCAAAGAAATTGCACTATAATCCACATCACAAAAGCCAACTCTATGACTGAGATGCATAGATGACACTTTCATACTCTGGCTACACCACGAAGAGGTCCAGCTACTATTAAGTACTAGATCATGTGAACTTAATAAGATCATTGATACATTTCACAATGGAAAGAGAAAACAACAAAACATTAGCATTCCTGGATGTAGTAATATCTTGAATAGAGTATGGGTTTAAGACATCTGTATACCGCAAGCTTACATTCACCAGACAATACCTCAACTTCAACTCCAACTATCCATACAGTGTAAAGAAAGGGATCGTTTGCTGCTTACATCATTGAGCAAAAAGTCATAAGTGGCAACCCAGAGACATATGAACAAGAAATGGCCAGTATAAACAGTACCCTACAACATAACAACTACTCTGGGTAAATGACAGCAACTCTTACAAACTGGGATAGAAGGGTGCAAGAGTATAACAACACCCAGAAAATAACCTCAATTTGCCTACCCTATGGGAAGGGATTATCGGAAAAAATACAAAAGATCTGTGGTCTGTCTAACATCAGAACGACCTTCAAAAGTGGTTCAACACTTCAGATATCTCTTCTGAGTAAGATCTTCCATAGTGGAGAATATGATTAAGGACTGTGTGTACACCATCACATGCAGTTTTGGTAAGAAATATAAAGGAGAAACAGGCTTCCCCCTTAATATAAGACTGCAGGAACACCGTAAAGCTGTAAAAAAATCTCCTAAGTCAGTCAAGTATAGAAATGAATACAATATAGGAACCAGTAATAAGGAGTGCTTAAGAAAAACAATAACAACAAAATTGCAACATTAAGCTCTGGTTAAAAAAAAACAAAAAAAAACATGGTTGCTAAGACATTAGGTTTATAAGTCCAAAAAATTTGTACAAGGATACTTGGCCCAATGGATAAAAGTGTTGGTTGAATGCAGTGCCTTGATCCAAAGAGTTGTAAGTTCAATACCTGGCTACAGCTGAGGTGAACAAAAAAAAATCTTGGAGAGTTGAATTAAAGGGAGATAACTGATCCTGAGATATCTGGGAGATGCGTGGAACTAGAACAATCTACCCCGGTGGATGAAATTCCAATTATGTGAAGAAGGTCAGAGCGTACAATGGCTGAAACATGAATATGGCTACAAAGATGAGGACAACAGTCTGAACAATATAAAAAGTTTACATATA